AAAAAAATTCTGAATAAGTAAATTGAACGGAGTTCCAAGGTACAAAACTACCTTCAAAGCTACAAATGTAATATCTTTAAATTCCAGTCTTAAGAAAAAATAAAAAAGTTTATTAAAAAAAATCTTAAAACATCTTGATGCTTATGAGAAGGAACAGATGAAAGCTGATATCAAACCTGTATCTTAATTCTATAGAAGCGAAGTGCTATAGAAGATCAATCCTTTCTGAGATTTGCATGACTAATTTGCTTTTTTTGTCCAAAATGATTACTCCCATTCAAGCAAACAAAGGACAAAAGAAAGATCGAAGTAAGGATGCTGATGTCATCTGGACACTCTATGAAATTGCTCTAAAGAACCATGCATGCTGCATGTTAAAAGGTTCGTCTGGAAGCAGCTCAAGAGGTGGGAAGGGATTTATGACTTGGCTGGAGGGGTCCCTCTGAGATTGCTTTCTTAAGAGCCTATAGTCAATGTTTTTCTTTTTGGAAATCTTCATAACATCTTTTTAAACAAAATGAGTTAATCTTGTAGGCTCTTCCTCATCAAAGGGATGAAGCAGTAGGAAGTTATACTTAAAAGAATACTGAGTTTTGCAATTTAAATGTTTGTAAACGTGTGGAGGCAGACAACAGGCTCTTCTTTCTTGCAGGTCAGTGGGAAATAGTTATAGTTATAGTTTATTAAATTTCTATACCGCCCTTCTCCCGAAGGACTCAGGGCGGTGTACAGCCATATTAAAACAAACATATACTCACAAAATTTAAAAAACAATTTAAAATAAATATATAAATTTGGCCCTTATGTTAAAAGCTACAAACACCCAATTTAAAATTCATTTTCTAAGCCAGCCCAGTTTAGAATGGGAAGCTGCCTTTCCTGCAAGGAGAGAAGCAACCTGGAACTAAGGAGAAACTTTCTAACAGTGTGTTCTGCCCCAACTCTGGATTCCCAAGGATATAGATACACACCAACGGTCCTTATCAAATTTATTAAGTAGCAAGAATAAACCAAAATCCGGCAAAAGTTGACAACCAGCCCAGAAAACAAGATACGATAAGACTTTTCCAGAAATGCTCTGATGATAATTACAAGTTGTTTCTAGCAAGAAACTTACTAACGGTGTGTGACTTAATAGGCTAAGGGAGTGGCCAATTATCCTCAAGCCTTACTCTCGAGGAGACCTCCTCCTCCTGAGTAGCCACTCCTGCCTTTTGGCAGCCCTGCGTGCTCAAACATTGAGAAGAGGCTCCTCCACTTCGCTATCTCCACTTGAAGGAGCCTCTAGAGGTTCTGAAGGCCCTGGCTGAGTCTCTGCCTCTGGCACCACATCCTCTTCAGCCTCCTCGCTGTCCGACACGAGCGCCGGTTGCGCAGGCTGCTGGCGCAACACCACACCAGCCTCCTCATTGTCAGGATCAGCCACGATCCGCGCAGGCTGCTGGCGGGCCACAACACAGTGAGGACAATCAGTGGAACAAATTGGAAGTTGTGGGTGCTTCATCACTGGAAGCTTTTAAGAAGGGTCTGGACAGTCACTTGTCTGAAATGTTACACGGTCTCCTGCTTGAGCAGGGGGCTGGACTAGAAGACCTCCAAGGTCCCTTCCAGCTCTATTCTGTTTGATTTGACGTGTGTAAGGACTCATTCTTAGCCTTTTCCTTTGACAGATCACTAAGCTGTCATCACAAGTTTTTTTGAGAGCCAGCACATGTGAAAGAGGTCAGGAAAATGGTATCTGTGGGCAAAATGCATCTGTAAACTAACTGCTTTTAATTATCCAAACCATCAAATTATTTGTTGTTGTTGTTGTTGCTAGAGATCTTGTGAGATTTGGTGGTCTCTTGAGATTCTGATTGTATGTTTATATATTCTTAAGAGAAGGAGAGACAGTCCAGTGTAGTGATTAAAGCATCAGACTGGGAGACTATAGGTTCCAGTCCCACTTCAAGCACAAGACCAGCTGGGCCATCTCTCTAGGAAGAAGACAAGCACAAACTACTGCCAAAAATATGGTCAAGAAAAATGCATGGATAGTTCAAGAAGTTAACCAGAGTCAAGATAGACTCAAAGGCATAAAACCAATTATGGAAATAACTTCTGAGATGAACTAATCATATTGAGGTCAAAAGCACCATTAATTTGCAGTTGCTCCACTCCTACAAGAGTCCAGACCCTCTTGAATTCTGTTACTCTTTCTAGCATCAATTTGCCTTGACTGTTAGTAGATCAGTTTCTTGTGTATAGGTAGCATGAAATAAACTTGAAGTGCTTTGAACTGAACTCCTGTTCTGTTCCTAGTTATTTGCACCTGACAAAACCAATCTTTCTCAGTGCCAGACATCATAATCGATATCTACTACAGCACTCCTAACAGATGGCCATTTGGCAAAAGCCATTGTCAAACAGATTTCATCATTATTGTAATAGATTCTTCCTGGTGCCTAGCCCAAATTTCCTTCCTTTTAATTTTGACCCGTTTCTTCTTGTCTTGTCTTCTGGAACAACAAAGTTATTCTCACATTTCTCATCTTCTATACCAGAATCGCATGAAGTCTCTCCAATGCTTGTAGGTATGCTAAGGTATTAACATCTGCACTTTTACCAGCACTACGCTCATGGACTACATGCAGGAACCATTGTGGAATGGCGATCCCATGAAGTATACATATTGGATGAAGCTGCAACACATATCTTACTGTAACCATTAGCATAAACCTAATAATGCATGGTTGCTTGGCATAGCTGTGTGCTTTCACTAACCATCAGTATACAAAAGTAAGGTGGCTATTGGACCATTTAAAAATCTGTAGACCATAGAGGTACAGTAGGTAGAAATTTCCTAAAAAGTGGTTAAATGTAGAAAGCCATTTCAAGAAGGAGAAGAAGAAATTATTAATAAGCCACACTATTCTTCCAATGAATGCTTAATGCTGACATTTGTTGTACACAGTTGAAGTATTAATATATCTAAACAAAATAAAAAAATAGATCAGAAAATGAATTCAGTATGTTTGCTAGTTCTCCTTGAACAAAGAATGCAAAATTAATTATTTCAGCTAGGGTTTGGGTGAGTGACCTGATTCTCAAGAATGGTGCATTGCAGGACCATTTAAATGGTTAAAGGATCTTTGTCCAAAGATAGCAAAGACGGCTTAATTGTGTGCATTTTTGCATTTTTATTCTTCTTCCAGCCTATTCCTGTCCACAGGCTGAAGTCTATGTACTTGAGAGTATATTTTAATTTCATCTTCACAAGAACCTGTGAAATAGGGTCAGTTAAAAGAAGATGAATGACCCAAAGACCCAAAGTCACCTGCTAAACTATGGCCAGTTGGGTTCTTACATCTGCATTTTCTTGACGAAGCCCAACACCGTGACCAATGTCTTATAGTAGACAAAAGGAGCAAAGCGATGGCTTGTTTTGGAGGGGCTGGAGGTAGAATTTGGCTCATTCATTTTCTTTTGGAATTTATGGCAACATCTTTGCAATTATCTGAGTCAGCCACTGCAATCAGAGATTGTACTTTGCATTTATACTTTATAGTGAAGTTTCCATGGCCTGAAATCCCATTAAAGAAATGAATACCTTACAGCACTTAAGTTATTAAAAATTAAGTTAACCTTATCAAATTAAAAAAGGTATATAAAGTTATCAAATATTGGTAGTACCACAAAGGTCCTTGGACGACTCTGGTCTTTAAAGCATCACAACACTTATATTTGATGCAGCAAACTAATAGTTAATTCCAAGGCAGGTGAGGGTGAGCAACGCTTTCAGCTTAGATCAACTCTTGCAATCCCTTAAATTTGGAATTTTAAGCAGGAATTTTCCACTCTCACTTTTTCATTGGAGTTTTATTTCAGTAAGTTCCCTCAATTTGTTGCTGGTCGCTTTTAAGGACAGCTGATTATTGTGGCAGGTTCTTTTCAATGTCCACTGGTGGCTGCTGCCCTTTGCTTGACCTGCAGGGATCTCTGCTCATTGACTGCATCACTGACTTAATGGTGCCTTGGTACTACAGTGGTTTAAAGCACCCTGTTATTAACACAGCTGCCTGCAATTTACTGCTGGTTCGAATCTCTCCAAGGCTCAAGGTTGACTCAGCCTTCCATCCTTTCTAAGGTAGGTTAAATGAGGACCCAGTTTGTGGGGGCAATAAGCTGACTTTGTATAAATATACAAAAGTATGAAGGCTATTGCTGAATGCACTGTAAGCCGCCCTGAGTCTCCGGAGAAGGGCGGCATATAAATCAAATTTAAAAAAAAAAAAAAAAGGGAAAACAAGCAAAGGGACAGAGAAATTCAATGACACCTGCATACTTGGGATGGGGGAGGGTTATTTTAAAGTTGGAAATGCCTTTGTAATTGTATTTCTCCGGCATATCTCATTGTTATTTAATCATCTGAATAAAGATTGCCTGCAGAAGTCAACTAAAACACAACAATACGGCAACTTGCACACAGAATTCATTACAAAGCATAGAAGAGACTGCCAGACTATTTGCATTCATTCAGCGAGGAGAGTCTGCATCAAATGAGGGAGTTGCTAGTGAGGAAGTCATTCCATAGTATAGCTTGCTCTAGATGCAGTAATTCAGCATTGCTGGGAAGTAACACCCTTTTTTGCAGCTTTTTCTCCTCCTGGATGCATAGGAGAAATCATGAGGAGGAAAGTTCTTTCCAAATCCTGGTATTATATTATTATAAATGTTCAGACTATGTGTTTGATCATGGCTAATCAATCAAGAATCTGAGACAAAGATTCTGCCATGTGTGTAAAACATGAACATAGTTTGCAAACCCCACTGTGTAAATTTATTCCTAATGTTTGCATTGCTCTCATAGTGTAAAATTAATCTCTAACTCTTCCAATGCCACAGATCTGTTAGCATAACCTTGGCATGCTTAGATAGGCTAAATAATATTCCGCCAGGCATCATGAGCTGGTCAATACAACATTAAAGAGCTGCTGGCAGATGAAAGCCCCATCTCTTACCTGCCCAGATCCAAGCCACAGCAGTGAGAGGAACACTTGGGGGAGCACCATCCTTCCGCCAGCCAAGAGCTGATTCTTCATGCTGGTGCTTTACGTTACTGTCTCTGGCTGAATTTATCATTGGCCTCCTGTGCCGCTATTCCCCTCCCTTCGCTTTCATAGGGGCTCAGAGGTTCCTGTCATTTTCATGCAAGGAACAAAACTCACAGCAGCCCCATTAAAGGCGTACTTGTCTTAGTCGCTTTAGCTTTTCCTCCTCCAGCAAAAAATGGTAGAGTGGAACTGAGATCTCCTGAGTCTGCTTTGCTTTGAACGACTAAATAAAGCAAAATTATTTTCCAGCTACTTTTGCACTTTTTTTTGTACCTATTCAGCGTTTTAGCTCAAAGAGGCTTTTCCTTGAGCATTGTATATGCCCAATTCTCACAGATCTCTGCCTTCCAAACTGGATTAGGAGTGGGTTTTTCAGTGGTCATCTTGCTGATATGGACTTCATTGCAAAACAAATGTTTTGGGCTTCATCCAGCTTTTATAAAAGTCCTCAATATGGACAAGAGACTTGAGATATCCTGGTTGCCTAAGAGAAAAAATCTCCCTCAAGATAGTTCTTATCAAATGTAGAAACAAAGTAACAGAAAAAGAATTCTGTAATTCTTTTAATTACAGAATTAAAAAAAAAGATTTATAGCCATGAACATGAATCTATAGTAGAAAGAGAGCCATTTCTCTTTTTAATGAAAAAAAAAAGAGACTTGTGGATAAAGACAAGGCCATGAAGACTTTTTGCCAATGGTTAACAACAAAATCCTTTGGATAGGGCTCAGAAATAGGATACATGCCTTTCACTGGAATGTGAATTTCAAGAAAAAAAAATTTTTACAGCCACAAAATTGATGAGAAGTTCTGTCCAAAACGTATCCAGTATATTTTTTCAGATAACATGGGGGATTTTCTGTCAGGTGGAGAAGAGAGGTTTCAGGCCTTGTAAATGTGAATTCTGTATGCCTAGGATTGTAATCTCAGTGAATGTGTGGACTTTGACTTGGAAGTCACTCTATTCTCCAGATACTAGGAAATAGCAAAGGGGATGCTAAATCAAGCTGATAGCAATAACACTTAGACTTATATACTGCTTCACAGTGCTTTACAGCCCTAAGTGGTTTACAGCCTCTTGCCCCCAACAATCTGGGTCCTCATTTTACCCACCTAGGAAGGATGGAAGGCTGAGTCAACCTTGAGCTGGTGAGATTTGAACTGCTGAAGGGCAGTTTGCAGTCAACTGAAGTAACCTGCAGTACTGCACTCTAACCACTGTGCAACCTTGGTTCAAGGTATCACCCACCTGATGATAGGTAATAGTAAGACACAATTCAACCACTGCCTCAGAGCTTAAGAGCTTCTAATATTTTCACTCATTGGTTGTTCACCAGGCTGAATAAGCAAGGCATATCTGCATAGAATTGCAAAGGTGATGATGGTATCCACAACATACTATTAAGTCTTGAAGTAGAAGGCATGAGTTATTAAGAGTTGTCCTGCTCCAGGAAGAACCATAACTTAAGAGTAAGGGGGAAACAAATCTTGACGCATAATGTATCTGTGCTAATTCTAGATATACACATCTCCGAGTTCTTTAGGTTAAGGAAACAGAGGCTGTGGCTGAAACTGTGTCTTTGCCCAACTCTGGATACATACCAGATACCATCTTTCCAGGATGACCTCTTTGCTTTAACTCTTGCCCTCATTATCATTTATCTGACAGGTGCTCTACGTGGGCTGTTTAATAGGACTCCTAGAAGCTACAATTAGTCCACAATATATGTATCAGATAATATATGTACTCCAGGGATTACACAGATGTTTAATTTGATAAAAAGTAATATTGTTGGGTGCTCACCTGTAGAAATCAGGATCCAGGCTTTTGCTCTATCAAAGATGTCTCCCCCCTGCTTTTGCAGAGACTTATTTTTTATAGTTTTTTACAAGCAGACAAAAGGCAAGTAAGCAACAGCACTCTAATTGGCAGATACTCCTACCTGTTCCTCCACTCAGAGGGTGAGATAATACAGACCAGAGCCAAAATGAGAACATACAGGAAACAAGATACATGACACCAAAAGCAGAAGCAGTTTGCTGCATTCGGCTCAACATCATGACCTTCAACCTCTACACTCCCCACTTTCTACCATGACACACACAGATCATGAGATGCTTATTATATTAAACATGCTTTTAGTTTGAATGGGTACTAGGATGCAGCATAAAAATCTTACTAAGGGTTTTTCCTGGGCTCTGGATATTATTAGGGAGAATCAAAGTGCCTCTGTTCTTCAAAGCCTCATCCCACAAATGTCAAGACATTCATAGGACTTAGCAATGGGTAGTTTTTGAAGCAGGACTTGAAAGAGCTCCTGGTTGGGAGTACTTTCAAGTGAAAGCTCCTTGGGGACGGGATTCAACTGACTGTCACATTCCCACTAGGAAAAATGAAGAGACAATCATGATCTAGAAGAAGCGCTGCTCCCAAGATAGATCCAGAAGAGAGAATCTCATGGATAGGATAAGCAGATCTACTAATCTTCATCTAGTAGGCCAGAAACACTATTTTAGCCAGGGTTTAGAAGAGAAAACTTACCCCATTAGCAAGAACTTGAATATACATGAAAAACTACAGTGTTTCCTTGAAAATAAGACCCTTATATCTTATATTTTTTTGAACCCTGAAATAAGCGCTTGGCCTTATTGCCATGCGCTCAAAAGCCCAATTGGGCTTATTTATTATCAGGGGAAGTCTTATTTTGGGGGAAACAAGGTATATATTTAATTTATAATTTAATTTTAGTATGTATGTAGCATGTTTCATTGTAAGATTTTATTTCATATAACTCAATATGACAATAAATGAACAATTTATCAGGAAGTTTTCTGCTTGAAGAACCTTCACATCAGGGAAAATGCAAGCTTTAGTCTTACTGGCAGCAGATCTTTTTAGACAAAGTCATTTATATAATTCTGAAGATTATTTCTCCTCAGTTTCAACAAGCGGGGGTGGGGGAGTTTTCCAAACTTGATCTAATTTCAGGTTTTAATAACCAGATATTTACAGAAACAAATTTTGTTAATAATAGTGTGTAATATTTGGGTGTCGTCCAAGTAATTTGTTGACTTGTTGTGAATCAAGAGTTCCTGAAGATTCTTCTGGAGTTGTCTCCTTTTTCTTTGCCTGAAAAGAGCACAAATAAATTTATGCAGTTACTGAACTGCAATGTAAATTCCCAGTGATTTTTCCAGTTATTGATCCCAATCATTAAATGACTAGAGTTAATTTTGACAAACTGAACTGGTATTGTCAAGTCTATTATTCCTCATTTATTACTCAAACTAACAATTAATTTGATGGCAAATGTAGAGTAGTTGAATTTTTAAAATCTATTTCTAGGAATATGAGAAAAATGTATTGTTTTGGTCATACATTGTGACTAGTTTCGTTGGTCTTATCCTGCTAGTTGTTTTTTTTTAATCTATTATTTTCTACAAATAAATGTAACAGAAAAAACAGAATTGGCAATATGACTTTTAAGATGCATTCTGTATAAACTATTTTGACGATGCAGCTAGCTCATACTTTCTATAACCACAAGGAAAACAATGAGAAGCAAATATGTAATGTACGGACCATTTCAGCAATTATTTTTCTTTTAACAAGTTTCCTTTTTTACAAAGCATTACGACTACTTCCAATTTTAGGATTTAATGAAGCATAGGATACTTTCATGGTACCCTTAGTATAGGCATGAGAATTATATGCAGTCTCCCAGATATCCAAAGCCCATTTTGGGGATATGGCTTACTTCCAACTGTTTCTCTCAATTCTATTTTGTAACAATAGTTTAGTAATTAGGCATATGCTACTTCCATTTTTATTTTGTTTTGTTAGCAATAAAATCAGCTGTTTGAGTTTTGAGAATTTTGCCTCTGTGCTATTCTTCTCCTATGTCAAGGAGCACACTCCCAATAACTGGATCAATTTTAACTTTTTGGTTCTAAAAAAAGATGGCAGAAATCAATAGAGTTTCAAAAATGCTACTCTTTGGAATTTTTTTTTAGTTTCAAAGCTTAAATTGGGATGTTCCAAAATCACCAGAAGTAATGTCCCTATTCAGAGGTCAAAATAAACATTCCCAATTGAGTCATTTCAAAGCTGAACTAACACAGAAATATTTCCAAATTGCACCTCCCAGGGTTGTTCTGAGCTCAAAATAGTTTGCACAGTTCTTTGGCTTTTTTAAAAAAAAGTGGTTCAGAGGTTGGATAACAAAAAGTTAAAGCAGACTCTTTTTTCAATGAAGAAATGACAATAGTGGTAGTGATGTTACCCTAGTCTTGTTTCTTATTTTAATAATGTAAATGGCAGTATTATGGGATCCAGCAGTATCACCACTGACTACTTCCCCTGGCTGACAAGTATTTTAAATTATTTCAAGAGCAATTTATTTAGGATTTCATATGCTACTACCAGTACCTTGAAGCATCCATTGTCTCTGCTTATATTTGCTAAATTATCATTGCTCTCCATTTTAATTAGATGAAAGTTTATTAAAGAAATTTTAAATAAAATACTATGCAATTAAAACAACTGGTAATTCTAAGGCATTACAAACTCAATATATATAAGGAAAACAGTTTATAGAATATTGGGAAAAAATAAAATGCAATTACTTCTGCTTTTGCTGCACATTCAAAGAATGTATTAATCTCCTTAGCACAAGCACTGTCACTGAACTCATTTGCCTTCCAGCAAGCCATCATCAATGCCATCTCTGTAACACAACTTGCCTCTGTAAAATAAAAAGAAACTCCCATTATCCAGGAGTATTTTATAGCTTCTACAAATCTATTGCAAAAGAAACACACAAAACGAGGAAGAAGGCATTGATCACAGCATATTATTCCAAGAGGCTGTTAACTTCAATTGGAATTGAAAATTCTTAAATAGTACCTATAATGGGAAGGAGGATGAGGGAGAAAGTCACTGGTCAATGGAAAGACATCTGATCAAGGTGGGCCAGATCCCTGTATGTAATGCATGGCACAAGACAGATATTCGATCAGATAGATTTTAGCAGAATCGGGAGCAGCAGTACATACATGTTGGATGTCAGTACATATGTACATGGGGTAAGCTTCCCTCCCTAGCTTATACCAGGGAATGAAGTCCACAAGCCTTAAAAGTTGCGGAGGTTGAGAAATAACGGTGTATATGGATAATTCTGTTCAAATATATATGCTTGTCATACACCCTACAAGGAGCCCATGGAAACTCAGGTAAAGTCAAGATGATCCGGACTCCAGGTAATGTTAGGGGCACGAAAGTGACTTGCTGCCTCCTCTTTCCTGGTGGTTTACTCCCTCTTACCCAGCCATTATTTTAACAGACATTTCTCTCCTCAATGTGCTTTTAATGACTTGTGTATGAAAAGAAAAAAGACATCTACCAAATCAACATCAGATCTGCCCCCTTAAGCACTGAGATGTGATTAAAGGAAATCTTTCTATGGAAAGGTCACATTAATTTTCAGAATGATGTACTACTTTTTCCTCTTCCACCCCTTTCAAGAACTGCTTCTTTAACAAAGACGTCTTTTTATCCAGTGTGATCTGAAGCTTTAATGACCAGGTGGCTGCTTATTAAGCCTGAAGCACTTGATTAGATTAACAGAGTTGGAAGGGACCATGTAGGTCATCTAGTCCAACCACCCACCCAAGCAGGAGACCCTACACCATTTCTGACAGATGGCAGTCCAATCTCTTCTTGAAAGCCTCCAGTGATGAAGCTCCCACAACTTCCGAAGGCAACTTCTGTTCCATGGGTTGATTGTTCTCACTGTCAGGAAATTCCTCCTTATTTCCAGGTTGAATCTCTCCTTGGTCAGTTTCCATCCATTATTCCTTGTCTGGCCTTCAGGTGCCTTGGAAAACAGTTTGACCCTCTCTTCTCTCTTGCAGCCCCTCAAATATTCGAATCATGTCTCCCCTGGTCCTTCTCTTCCCTAGACTAACCAGACCCAGTTCCTGCAACCTTCTTTGTATGTTTTAGTCCCCAGTCCTCTCATCATCCTGGTTGCTCTTCTCTGCACTCTTTCTAGAGCAGAGGCCTCCAAACTTGGCCGCTTTAAGACTTGTGGACTTCAACTCCCAGAATTGAGGCGTAGCTGGCTGGAGAATTCTGGGAGTTGAAGTCCACAAGTCTTAAAGCGGCCAAGTTTGGAGGCCTCTGCTCTAGAGTCTCAACTTCTTTTTTATAGTGTGGTGACCAAAACTGGACGCGGTATTAAGTATCATAGCACTGCAGCCTCTGGACCTCGAAAACTACCCTCGGTTGGCTCGACTGACCCACCACAAACCGGGCGGGCGGGTTTGTGCGCGGGGACCGCTGGACGCCGCTCGCCTTGGCCTACCTCCGAGCTTCAGGTGCCGGTTGGAGACGCGGTCGCTCAGCGCCAGAGGCAGCTTCGCTTTGATCGGGCGACGCCTGCCCGGGACCCTCACGAGGTCGGCAGAGCGGCTCCTCCAGAACGAGATTCCACCAAGCGAGCCAGCCATGGCAGACCGGAAGAGCGGCCGCCACGTGATTGCCCGCGTACCATAGAGACGCACTTCCGATGTGGTTCGGGAGGAGGGGGGGAAGGCTGGAAGGAGCAGCCGGGCGCGTGAGGGGGAAGGTGGGACCCCTTTGCAGGCGGGGTCCTTTGAGGGCCAATGTGGGTGCGAGGGCAGGAGGGCTGGGGTAGGCCCAGGGGGAGGGACGTTGTGCCCAATATGTAATAAAGAAAACGGAATACGTGCAGCCTGGAGCAGGGGTCTCCAACCTTGGCCGCTTTAAGACTTGTGGACTTCAACGCCCAGAATTCCTCAGCCAGCAAAACAAAGCTGGCTGAGGACTGCTGGGAGTTGAAGTCCAAAAGTCTTAAAGCGGCCAAGGTTGAAGACCCCTGGCCTGGAGGATAGAAGGGAAAGGGGGCACTTGATTGAAACCTTTAAATGTATTAAGGGTGTGAATAAGCTCTAGAAGGCAGAATTTTCAATATTAAGCAAAAATCAAGACGGGGGGGGGCATAAATCTTCAACTGACAGGAGGGAAATTCAAAAGGAATGTTAGAAAGAGCTTGGAACCAACTTCCAGCCCACGAAGTGGGCCAATCGTCAAGACTGACTGTTTATAAACTGAGTTTACAAACATGTTCGAGTTAAATACATGTCTTATCGCCAGACAAAAAATAAAAATAATTAACAAATTAAAAAGAAAACAAAAACTCTCAAAGGGCAGACTCTATGGCCCAACTGGGTATTTTTCTGCCATCAAGTTTCTGTTTGTATGTACATAATCAAGTCTCTTCTACAAACCAGTTATTCATAACTTAGTGATTTCATTTAAAGAGCTGCTAAAACTTATTCGAAGAGTCCCAGCATGCAGAACATTATACGTAGCTGCTTGAAATCCACTGAGACACAAAAAAACATAACCCATAAAGATGGCAATTATTCACTTTAGCTATGATAGTGATAGCTTTATTGTTGCATTCTTCAATAGAAAAATTCTATATTTACATTCCTCAGTAAGATCCTGGTCTAAATACTCTTATTGAAACCTACATATGAACCCAATAATGTGTTTTTAAAATACCAATTTGTTACATTTATTCAGATTCTTTATTGATGGATTTATTCTATTCCATCCTGTCATAGAGACTGAAGGGGATGACTGGAAACAAATTTAATGTTCTCAGCTAATATATTTCCCTTTCTGTAATATACAAAGTATAGTTGCTTAAGAAAATTAACTTTTGTTTTAGAGAAGCGGTTCTCAACCTGGGGGTCGCGACCCCTTTGGGGGTTGAACGGCCATTTCACAGGGGTCGCCAAAGCCCTCTCTCGCCCCCCCCACGCCTTCACTCACCCTCCCTCTCTGCTCTGTGGGATCGCCGGCCATTCGCTTACCCCGCCCACCCCCAATCTATTGCTGTTTCCTGAGTCCCAGCTGATGGCTAGAGGAAAAAAAACTGTTTAAATTCTTGCCGCGGGGCTTGAAAGGGCCGCCCTATAGCCAGTGGTGCAGCCGAACCGTTTGTTAAATTGCTGGCTTGCCCCGCCCCTCCGCACCACTATTTATTGCCAATAAATAGTGGTGGGCGAGGGGCGGGGGAGCCAGCAATTTAACAAATGGTTCGGTGTTTTTTTGTAATTTTATTGGCCCGCGGAGCTTCAGCATAGGCTAATTAGCCCTTGATTAGATCGGCTCCCGACTCTCAGCTGAGTTGCTCTCAGCTGTTTTGCTCAGGGCTCTGCTGCTTGCTCGAGCAGATTTTTTTTCCCCTAGCTATGCTGAAAAACAAAACTGAAAGTAAAGAGGCTGTTGGCTTTGCTGTTGCTGCAAGTTGGAAAATTAGGCAGGCAGATTTCTTTTCTTTTTCCTCACCAAAAAAGGTAGGTGCAAACAATGGGAAATTTAGGGAAAAAGAGGAGAGTTCAAGATTTTAAAACACAAAAGAAAAAAAGCTCTATTTAACTAGGGAATTGTAATAATTGAGATACTATTAATTGTATATTGTGTTGAAAGCAGAAATGGTTAAGTTGTGGTTTGAAGGAATATATGGGAGAAATTATTTGGTTTATTATTATTGGTAAATATAATTAATTGATTTGTAAGAAATGGGATTGCATGGAAATAATTGGAATATTCATGTTCATATTGATTAATATACAAAAAATGTAGTTATATAACTAATTGATTTATATTAAAATATTGAATTTATATTAAACAACTGTAATATTACATAATTAACCAATGTGAGGATGGATATAAAAATAGATGACAATGGAAAGGGGCATAATATAGAATAGAAGGGAAAAATTGAATTTGATTAAGATTAGAGATGAGGATGAAGGGTAATATTGGTTTTTTACAAAAATAGATGAGGAATAAATATGGCAAAAAGGAAATATAGAAATTGCAAATTTAATTGAAATGACTAAACACTGTTTAAATTTGTGAACCGGCCAAATACTCTGTTCAAAGTGTTGGAAGAAATCTCCTTCTAGGTTCTGCTCCAAGTGGGGAAAAAGACACTGGAAACATGGAGACTGCTTGGAAAGATGGTTTAATGGTGGACAGGATCACATGGCTTGAGTTCCTGAACAGAAAAGGGCAGATACAGTAAATCTTCGGGTTTTTATGCTCTCTCTGGCTCTGCATTTCTTGGGGCCCCAAAAGAGTATCCTGACTGGTCATCAGACTCCGAGGGGGTGGGGGTCTTAGCTAGCCTTGCTGGCTGATGGTCACATGTGCTTCCCAGGTCACATGTGGTGAGTTTCTGTTGCTAGATGGGTAGAGAGCTAATCCTATCTTTATTGGATCTTGGGCAATTCCTACTATGGCTCTGCCTGAAGGAGGTAGATCTTTGTTATGTAGAATAGACTGGCCCAGGCCTTAATGGCCCATTGACAAAGGGTGGGGGCAGGAAGATGGGAGCTGCTTCAAAACATGCTTATCCCAGGGATAATATTCTGCCTTTTTCATATTTCCTAAAATATTTCACTCTTCCAGGAAAGGGGTGGGTGCTAACTTCCTACAAAAGAAAATACATTGTATGTTTGTATGTGTGTTTCTAATTATTGTTATTTATTCATATTTATTCTCTTTTATTCCTTAAAATTTAACAATTCATTCTTTATCTTAATATCTTTATATTTGTTTGGGGTTGGCTTTCTTCCCTTTCATCTTTTTTATTGTACAGCAATCTTTCTCCTCAAACCTACCACCTCTCTCTTTTCTTTCCTTCTCACTTTCTCTTCCTCCCCCTCTTCTTCTCCTCCCTACTTCCTCTTCCTTTCTCCTTCTCCTCCTTTCTTCCTCCCTCTCTTACCCTCACTCCTACTCTAATTTCCCTTCCCTTCCTTCATCCCTCTCTATTGCTGTATCCTTTTATGCATATGGACTACTCAGAGGGCTGAAAAAGTTATTTCTGACTGGTCCTCACACTTTTGACCAGTCCTCGAACTTACGACTGTCCTCACATTTTACGTTTTTGCCCTATCTTGTCCCCATGGTGAAGAGAAGCAGTTGTGAAATGAGTGACACATTGTTAAGAATGCTACAATGGGCATAAATGATGACCAGTCATAAGTGCAAGACCAGTCGAAAGTGCGAGGACCTGTCAGAAATCACTTTTTTCAGCCCTCTGGGTAGTCCTTTTGTGCATATGGACTACTCAGAGGGCTGAAAAAGTTATTTTTGACTGGTCCTCGCACTTTTGACCAGTCCTCGAACTTACGACTGTCCTCACATTTTATGTTTTTGCCCTATCTTGTCACCATGGTGAAGAGAAGCAGTTGTGAAATGAGTGACACGATTTGTTAAGAATGCTACAATGGGCATAAATGATGACCAGTCATAAGTGCGAAGACCGGTCAAAAGTGCGAGGACCTGTCAGAAATCACTTTTTTCTGGGTAGTCCTTTTGTGCACATGGACTACTCAGAAGGCTGAAAAAGTTATTTTTGACTGGTCCTCGCACTTTTGACCAGATCTCGAATTTACGACTATCCTCACATTTTACATTTTTTGCCCTATCTTATCACCATGGTGAAAAGAAGCAGTTGTGAAATGAGTGACATGGTTGTTAAGAAAGCTGCACCGGCATAAATGTGAGGATGGTCATAAGTGTGAGGACCAGTCAAAAGTGCGAGGACCTGTCAGAAATGACTTTTTTCAGCCCTCTGAGTAGTCCCTATACACATAGCCATGGCTACCCGGTCACATGACCAGCTAGCCACGCCCACAAAATAAGCCACGCCCACAGAACCGGTAGTTAAAAAATTTAGAACCCACCCCTGGTTGGGGGTCACAACATGAGGAACTGTATTAAAGGGTCGCGGCATTAGGAAGGTTGAGAACCACTGCTTTAGAGGAACCATATGGCGATGGGGAGTGAAAAAAGTTGCAGATGCTGAAATCAGGTTCGAAAATTTCTCCTTTCCTTTAATAAGGAGCCTGGATAGCTCAACAGACAGAGCACTGTAATTTAACTCCAGCTGTCTGCAATTAAAGTAAGATCGAATCTCACCAAGGCTCAAGGTTGACTCAGCCTTCCATCCTTTCTAAGGTAGGTGAAATGAGGACCCAGTTTGTGGGGGCAATAAGCTGACTTTGTATAAATATACAAAAGTATGAAGGCTATTGCTTAACACATTGTAAGCCGCCCTGAGTCCCCGGAGAAGGGCGGCATATAAATCAAATTAAAATAATAATAATAATAATAAGTATGTTGTATGTAGCCATACCTGTTAAATGGCTCTTTGAAATGAGGATTTTGGAATTATAGGAATCTTCTTTTGAATTTGTAAATTTAATGAATGCGAATAAAGTTAATTTCTCATTGTTGATATATTCTAATGTTTGACCTCTTTTTTTTTTTATGTATGCTTTTGCCAATCATGAATAATTTCTTACATGAAGGTACCTTTGGGTACCTTAGCTTTAATACCTGTCTTTCTATCCATCCAACTGCACTGAATAGTCCGATGAAAACTTTACAGTAACAAATTGTGGTTTCATGCCATTCAACAAA